TTTTGCTATAGGGCATGTGTGCTCACCAGAAAGAGAGAGACAGAGAGACAGAAAGCGAGAAATCACCCCCCAGGGGGGATGGTCACACTGCAATCCCTCCTCCTCCATTCTCCTCTCAGGACCTTGGGCATGCATGCACAGGAGCCCAGCGTGAGTTTAAGCCACTGGGTCCGGGATTCGAACCGCGGTCAATTACATGAGAGTCCAGCGACATAGCCATTATGCCATCTGCTGGTCCCAGCCATTTTCCGAAGACACCAGTGAGCAAGGACCTCTACAAGGAATGGATAGTCCACAGGCTTGCTATCTAGGTGTGTTTAACTGCTCCTCCCACTTTCTAGCCTTTCTCTTTAAACACACTAAAGTAGGGGTCAGTGACACAGTGGTAATGCCACTGGACCCTCATGGGAAGGTCCCAGGTTTGGGTTCCAGGACCAGGAGACACATGGCACACACATGTGCGTGCCCATGAGCCAGGGTGCTGAGGCTGGGGTCAGGGTGGCATGGAGACCCTGTTGAGAGTGCTTGTCTATGTCTCTCTTTTTCTCTCTTTCTCAGAAGAAATCAACTTTAAAAAGCAAAACAAGAACAAACATGACACATGAAGGCCCAAGGTCAGTTCTGAGGACCAGGAGTGGAGGCTCATGGTGGCTGGAGGCTTGGTCCAAGCGGCCCCCTCCCGTCTGACCTCTGCTCATTTCTTCTGCAGTGGCGCCTCAGTGTGGCCGCCTCCCGGCCGCTGTGTGGTGGTGGTCGGTTTGTGCCAGGACTGGCTGCCAAGTAGCAGAGACCGGGGTCTCAGAGTACAAGATGGCTTTACATCTGAACCTCATCTTTTGCCCTCTGCGTTGTGAGTTATAAACAAAAGAATAATTCAGTGGGACCAGCAGTTAGCATAATGGCTACGTCACTGGACTCCCATGTAGCAGACTGTGGTTTGAGTCCTGGACCCGGTGGCTTAAAACTAATGCTGGGCGCAGTTGAGAGTGCTTGTCTATGTCTCTCTTTTTCTCTCTTTCTCAGAAGAAATCAACTTTAAAAAGCAAAACAAGAACAAACATGACACATGAAGGCCCAAGGTCAGTTCTGAGGACCAGGAGTGGAGGCTCATGGTGGCTGGAGGCTTGGTCCAAGCGGCCCCCTCCCGTCTGACCTCTGCTCATTTCTTCTGCAGTGGCGCCTCAGTGTGGCCGCCTCCCGGCCGCTGTGTGGTGGTGGTCGGTTTGTGCCAGGACTGGCTGCCAAGTAGCAGAGACCGGGGTCTCAGAGTACAAGATGGCTTTACATCTGAACCTCATCTTTTGCCCTCTGCGTTGTGAGTTATAAACAAAAGAATAATTCAGTGGGACCAGCAGTTAGCATAATGGCTACGTCACTGGACTCCCATGTAGCAGACTGTGGTTTGAGTCCTGGACCCGGTGGCTTAAAACTAATGCTGGGCGCATGTGCGTGCGTGCCCAAGATCCCGAGAGGAGAATGGAGGAGAAGGGATTGCGGGGTGGCCATCCCCCCTAGGAGGTGATTTCTCGCTTTCTATCTCTCTGTCTCTCTCTGTCTTTCTGGAGAGCGCACATGCCCCATAGCAAAAAAATAAAAAAATTTTAAAAACTCTCCAAAAAAAAAGAATAATTCACATTTAGATGCTGATGCCGCACAGGGTCGGGGAGGGGCAGGGTGGAGGGACTGTCCCTAGTGAGGGGAGCAGTTAGCTGATTGGTGACTGTTTACAGACTTGTTCCTTTCAAGCGTGTACTCCTTGAAATCATTGTCTTTGTAAATGTTAAAAGCCATATGAAAAAAAACCAACCACCTTGATTACTCCTCTTTGTGCTTCAATCAGCAGCATGTCAGCGTCTGAATAAACTGTAATTCCTTCACTGTGCCTGTCAAGGAGAACATTTAGGCCACATTTAAAAATATATCTTGGTAGGGGTCTCCGGAACAATTTGCAATTAAAATAATCTACTTTCTGCATTTTACTATATAAACACGGCTGCTTGATTGATGTCACAGTCTCAGGGTCTGCCCGGGCCGTCCCCACTCCTCCTGCCACTCCTGCTTCTCACAGGCCCGTGAGTGTGGAGCTGTGACTCAGTGTTCATTAGCGTGTCACTGACTTCGTAACGGAACTGGGTGCCTCCAGGGCTCAGGCTGCCAAGGTTCGCCCTCCCAGCTCCCCGACTCGGGACTGGTGTCTTAATATCAGAGACCACTTGGTTAAGGCAGAGGCTGACATGAGACCTGGGTTGACTGTGCTTTCCCCACCCCCTAGCCACAGCCCACCATGCCTGGACCTAAAGATACTCTCCTATCAGGGCATTTCCAGGGCGGGGACCAGCAGTTAATGGCTATGTCGCTGGACTCCCATGTAGTCGACCATGGTTCAAGTCCTGGACTCAGTGGCTTAAACTCACACCGGGAGCGTGTGTGTGCATGCCTAAGATCCCAAGAGGAGAATGGAGGAGAACGGATTGCAGCGTGGCCATCCCCCCTTGGGGGGTGATTTCTTGCTTTCTGTCTCTCTGTCTCTCTCTGTCTGGCGAGCGCACACGTTTAAAAATATATCTTGGTAGGGGTCTCCGGAACAATTTGCAATTAAAATAATCTACTTTCTGCATTTTACTATATAAACACGGCTGCTTGATTGATGTCACAGTCTCAGGGTCTGCCCGGGCCGTCCCCACTCCTCCTGCCACTCCTGCTTCTCACAGGCCCGTGAGTGTGGAGCTGTGACTCAGTGTTCATTAGCGTGTCACTGACTTCGTAACGGAACTGGGTGCCTCCAGGGCTCAGGCTGCCAAGGTTCGCCCTCCCAGCTCCCCGACTCGGGACTGGTGTCTTAATATCAGAGACCACTTGGTTAAGGCAGAGGCTGACATGAGACCTGGGTTGACTGTGCTTTCCCCACCCCCTAGCCACAGCCCACCATGCCTGGACCTAAAGATACTCTCCTATCAGGGCATTTCCAGGGCGGGGACCAGCAGTTAATGGCTATGTCGCTGGACTCCCATGTAGTCGACCATGGTTCAAGTCCTGGACTCAGTGGCTTAAACTCACACCGGGAGCGTGTGTGTGCATGCCTAAGATCCCAAGAGGAGAATGGAGGAGAACGGATTGCAGCGTGGCCATCCCCCCTTGGGGGGTGATTTCTTGCTTTCTGTCTCTCTGTCTCTCTCTGTCTGGCGAGCGCACATGCCCTATAGCAAAACAAACAAACAAACAAACTTCTCTCCAGGGGAACAGACCCCTAAAACCATGAAATGCTACAGACAGAAGAGAAGAGAAAGCTACCAAGCCCCACCCCTGTGGATTTTACAGGTGAAGGAACTGAATCTCAGAAACTTCACTTAGCAAGTGACGGCGTCAATGATCCAGGCTCCTGTGTCCTACACCAGTCCCTCCTCTGTGAGGTTTTATGGACAGAAATAAGCTCAGGTGGTTTCTCTCTTGGAAAAGCAAGACATATTTGCAAAGCAGTTCAGGTGCGGCACTGATTTCAGGCAGAGGAACAGGCTCCCTGACTTTTCGAGGCCAGGATGAGATCTGATATTCTCTGAGCGCTTCAGAAGATATGGAGATGATCCGATGGTGGGCAGCTGGCTGGCAGCTCCTCACTCTCCACCTGCTGTCCTGGAGCTCCACCTTCAAGTGCAGGGGCTGCCCCTTCCTCGTATCCCTTCCCCCCTGCAGTGAAGCTAGGCTGGGATGACAAGGAGAGCCTCTCACTCTCAGACCCCAAGACAGAGCAGATCCTTACACTTTGCATCCTAGGCACCTGTCCTGCTCACTGCTGTCCCTGCAGGTACATCCAAAAGGGACATGAACAGGACAATGAAAATGGTGAGGGCAGGGTGGCTTGGACAGAAGAGGGTCACCAAGATGCAGTGCAAGGGAGGGACAGCATCCTTTGCAGGAACCCAGCCTGCCACACCTGACCCTGCGTTCCCATTATAAATGGAAGGAAGGGTCCCCTTTAAAGTGGGACCATCGTGTGGCATGGTGATCGGATCCTAGATAAGGCAGCGTGAAAATCACAACAAAGGGCCGGCAGGTGGCATGTGGTTAAAGCGCTGGACTCCTACATGGCTGACCACAGTTTGAGGCCCAGACCTGGTGGCTTGCTTTCCCACTTTTCCTTTCTCTCTTTCTCTCTGGTCAAAATAAAATATTATAATAACAACAAATTAATAAGTCTTTTTTAAAATTACAACAAATAGATAAATAAATGTAAGAAAAAAACTTTTTTTTTTGGAGAGTTCTTTTTTTTTTTTTTTCCTTTTGGAGAGGTGTTTTTGTTTTGTTTTGTTTTTTGCTTTGGGGCGTGTGCGCTCGCCAGACAGACAGAGACAGAGAGACAGAAAGCAAGAAATCACCCCCCAGGGGGGATGGTCACACCACAATCCCTTCTCCTCCATTATCCTCTTGGGATCTTGGGCACACACACACACACACGCCCGGTGTGAGTTTTAAGCCACCAGGTCTGGGACGCGAACCGGGGTCGACTACATGGGAGTCCAGCGACATAGCAATTATGTTAACTGCCAGTCCCAGAAAAAAAAAAAAAACAAACTTTAAAGTGTGGGCCAGACGGTGACACAGTGGTGAAACGTTACACTTTACAAGGCTGGGAAGGTTCTGGGTTGATGTCCTGAGACCTCCCTGCACACACAGGCCTCTGGGGCTGGCTGAGGCTGGAGGTGAATCACAGCACTGAGCCCCTGTCTGGGTGTTGTCTCTTTGTCTCTCTCTCTCTCTATCAGTCTGTCTTTCTCACTCATGGGAGAAATAAATGAATAAACCTTTTTTAAAAATAAAAATAAAACTGATAAAGTTACTATTTCTACTTATACGTCGGACACTGTCACCCTTGAATCTTACGCTGAACTCTCATTCCAGGATCAGAGCGATGGGCAGAGTCTCCTCTGGAATTCCTGTCCTGGGAACAGAGCTCCTTGGGCTCCATGAGCAGGTGGGAATGGAGGAGGGCCTGAGGGTTCCATGGTGCCAACATAAATTTGTGACACAGGTAGCACATGACCCCTCTAAAAATGTCTCCAATGGGCTAGTACAATTTAGGTTCAGACTAAGTTTAATGACACAGACTGCTTGAGCCAAGTGTCACAATATTTTCCCCTGGACAGTAAGCTGCCAGGAGCCTAGAGACCCAGACAAGCAGTTTACACTTAATAAAAGTAGCCCCCGGGAACAGCAGTTGGCATAATGGCTATGTCGCTAGACTCTGATATAGTCGACCGTGGTTCGAGTCCCAGACCTGGTGGCTTGCGTGCCCAAGATCCCGAGAGGAGAATGGAGGAGGAAGGGATTGTGGCGTGGCCATCCCCCCTTGTGGGTTGATTTATCACTTTCTGTCTCTCTGTTTCTCTCTGTCTTTCTGGCGAGCACATGCGCCCTATAGCAAAAACCTCTCCTCCAAAAAATAAATAAATAAAATAAAAGTAGCTCTAGCTTGTTACAAAATAGATAGATTAATAGCCTGTGACACAGAATAACAAACTGATGAAAATGATAAGAAAAAATAGTTTCAGGGCCAGCAGGTGGCATGGTGGTTAAGGCACTGGATTCCCACATGATCAACCATGGTTTGAGTCCCAGACCTGGTGGTTTGCTTTCTTATTTTCCCTCTCTTTTCTCTCTCTGTCTCTGTGGTGAGCACACATGCCCTATAGTAAAAACTGTAAAACAATCATAATAACAATAATTACATTAAATGAATTAAGTTTCTAGTGGGCCAGCAGGTAACATGGTGGTTATAAGGTGCTGGGTTCCCACGTGGCTGACCATGTGAGTCTTGGACCTGGCAGCCTGAAAATCACGCCAGGTGTGTGTGTGTGTGTGTGTGTGGGCGTGTGGGCGTGCGTGCGTGCCCAAAATCCCAAGAGGAGGATGGAGGAGAAGGGTTTGTGGTGTGGCCATCCCCCTGGGGAGTGACTTCTCACATTCCCTCTCTGTCTCACACACCATCTTATAGCAAACAAACAAATAGTTACTAAGGACTATAGAGAGAATGTGGTTTTCAAGAACAGGATCTGCTTTTTCTGAAAATAATAATAATAATACAAGATCCTTCTGTTAGATGCCCTGGACTCTCAAATCTTCTGTTCGCATGGGCTGGAAAGAACCAGGCAGAGCTGGGGGCCTGGTGGGGGGGAAGTCTGGATTGGCTTTCTGGGATCTAACCAGGAAGCTCCCTGGTAGATGGCTGACACTGTCACAGCTGAACACCCGCTGGAAGGGAGGCACCCACCCGGCACCTCCTGCCACCTCCCGCCACTCACAGCCCAAGGCACTGTTCCTGCACCTGCTTATCCTGACCATCGGCTCACAGTGGGCTGGGCACTGTGCTTACTGAGAAGGAAGAAAGGGAGAGAAAAATAGAGAGCGGGAAGGAGGGAGGAGAAAAAGAAAGGGAGAAAGAGGGAGAGGGCGAGAGAAGGAAAGAGAAGGAAGGAAGGAGGGAGAGAGATCATGGAGAGGGAGGGAGAAAATTAGAGAGACAGAGAAGAAACACAGGTAAGAGTGAGGAAGAATCA